GGTAGACAACTATAGTCATACACAGTCAAGTCACAGCATTTAATCCCACTGCCCAAAAATGGGGTATGCCAAACCTCAGTATCTATAGAAAGTTGGATATTTGGAACTGAAGTTTCAGGTGAATAGAAATGGTGTGATTTTAAGGGCAGCCAGGCACACAGACAGTTCTTTTCTAAAATACATTTACCAACAGCAATGACCAGATAGGCACAGTAGTAGAAGTTACCATTCAGTGCTGCTTAGTATTTATTTAGAATATGGAATAAAATTATTCTTGTTAACTGAATAACTGCTGCAAAGAGATTCACAAAGAGTCTGGAAATCCCTTGACAAACATTTACACAGAAGGTGATGATAAACAAACAAGATCTAATACCTAGCACAATGCTTTTATAGGACATGTTTTATTAACAGCTTGGAATTTTTGCTCTGCCTGTCAGGAGAATCCTTTATCCTCAAACCTCTCAGTGCAGATTTACTGTAAAATGTAGCTCTTTATTTTTAATCAGAGTATGGGGTATGAAGGGAATCATATATCCAAAAGTATTAGCAAGTAATGCTCAACCTCTCTGAAGGCACATTTATTGAACAGTTCAATTTGATTGTGAATTTAAATGGCTATCTCTGTTTTGGTGTTGATGTATTATGAAATTATTCTCACATGCTGATCCAGGTTTATTCATTGTCTGCCAAGAACTGAATATTATAGTCCTTTCACATGGGGAGTAAAAGCAATTTTTTTCCTGTTACAACTCTCAGATAAGTCAAAAGACAATGAATTATTTAGGAAGGTGGTGCAGGCAGTTCTGCTGTCAGCATGGCAGTGATAATGCTGTAAACCCCGTGCACGTGTTCCTGTGCTGGGAAGGGCTAAGTTACTGCACCAGACAACTGGGAACTTTTAAATAAATACGACCTCATTTTCAGAAAGGGAGCACTCAACACTCCCCGAAACTCAGTTTCAGGTGTTTAGAAAGGAGACAGCCAAAATAAATAAGACATTTCCAAAAGTCTATGTTTCATTCTTTTAGAACAAAGTTAAGAAATATTCAGTCTTTGCCAAGAATTTAAAGACTCGTTTTGAAGGCTGCTGTGTATGAGTAAATGCAGTAGTAAAATGAGAATTATTGGTATGGATTTGTTTTAAAACTGTGTTTTGACATATAGACACATTTAGACATAAATTCTGTTATTAGCAGCTCATATTTCCTTTAAGAACTTTTCTTAGATTCAAGACAAAGTAGGAATATATATTTTAATATAATTAATTTATTAAATAAAGGGAACAATAATTCTTATTAAACATAGTGAATTCCTGGGATCCATTTAAACTTGTTTTACAAAAGCTCTTAGCTTGTTTCTTGTGCACAGCTGATTGATGTTGCTGCATTAAATGGGAGATGGAAGTTGAGCCTTTTTCTGTAGCACATGGTTAATTTTGATAGTGTATCTTACTACATGTTTTAGCAACAATTCACAAGTGTTGTATAAGACATACATATTCCTGGAATAAATCAACTGGTAGTTATCGCTGAGGACACATTCTAATCTTTTCTCTAAAAATAGAATGACAAATTATATTTATGTTACATCAAATTTTAACTGAAAAAGAAAAGCGTGGATTGATGCTATTGCTGTGAGGAGAGGGGGAAAATTATGGGAATTCCAGTTATTATGGAGACAAAGATTGATTTTTTTCAGCAGAAGTTTAATTCCTACTCTTATTTTAAAATTGTCATTGTTCCATTTCCTTATACACCAAGAGTCCTGGTCACTGGTATGAGAACTTCACAATGTAAATTATGGAGAATGCAATAAATGATTGAAACATGGTAAATATGTGGGCAATAATATACAGCAAAAACACTGTACAGATCTGAGTGCTGTCTTCTGCCCTAACACTGTAATAGATTATGGCAGAGCAAAAGGTAAACAGATTGGTGTGAATTCTTTCTGATTTATGTTATTTTTACATATCTTGAACTGAAAGGGTGATAGATTTATTTATGTTTTAAATCAAAACTGGTAAGTTGGTCTGTACCATATAAACTCAAGCATTTATCTCTGGGATAAGGCTGAGTTGATGAACCTTGAGGAGTTTAGAGTTGCATTTCCTGAACTAATGATGGGAACTGGAGCCTGTTTCACACAGGGAGAGGGGACACAAAACAGTGCATGTGAATAAGATTCAATCCATCCAAATGGATTCAGAAATCACATGCTCCTCTCTATTAGTCTCTGAATGCTCCCAGTTCAATTAAATACATTATCTGCAGGATAATCATTTTATGACAAAAAGATTGGCAAAAGAAGCACACTCTGCTTGGGACTGTTATTTGCTTGATTGTGCTGTTTTTGACCTCTCCTGAAAAGTTTTACCTCCACAGCAACTTGCAGTTTATGTAAGGGAAGCCAGTGTAGACACTGCGACCATTCACATATTTTTATTTTCCCGTAAGCACTTTATTTTGATAAGGTGAATAACTTTAGTTGTTTAGATTAACTGAGCTAGCACTGTGCTTTGGATATGACCAGTATTGGTAGTTCTGATTCCCTGGAGCACTGGGGAATCACAGAAGAGTTTCAAAGTGCCCTGGGAAGGAGCCTGAGGTACATTCATATCAGCTGGTCACAAAGGGCTGCTGTGAGACAGGCCCCCTCTCCTGTGCTCATGGCCATGGTTGCAGCATTTCCCTGGCTTCATCCCTTTTTTTCCCCGTAACTGATGACACCCAAACCCACTCCAATAAATCTCTTCAGAGACAATAATATTATTTTTCTATTTGTAATGCAGTTTCCCTTGGCTTTGTGAGCTGTACCCTCCAAACTAGCTTGAAAAAGACCATCTTTTTCTTCTTAGGAATCATGGGGATAGATGCAGCTCAGAATTGCTGTTCAGGCACAGGTGACAGCATGCTGGGGTCTACACTAAGCAAGTTGGTGTCATTTGCCACTGCTCCATAACTTTCCTCAGCAAACTCATCTGGCACTTGTGTGCCAGAATCCACACAAGTGTCAATTGTCATGAATTACCACCACCTTTAAATACAATTACTTAGAGAAATTACTTAAGACTAAAAAGACAAATGCTGGTAGCTAAGGACAAAAATCCACATTGAGGTGTAATAAATTATAAAGACAATTAAATATCTTCACTAGAAGGAAAAATCAGAGCCTCAAGATACATTTGTAATTAAAGATGTCTATTTAAAATTTTATCTCAATTTGACCTCCTCATAATTTATGAAGATGTATGTTCCAATATCAAGAAATTAAGTGGAAATTATGAACCTAATAGCTTTGTAGTAGGAAAATCTATATCCTGATTACAAACCCAATTTATTTTATTGGTAAAAATGTCTGGCAGATCTCATGGGATTCAGAGGAAATCCTCAGAGACGAGCATTTCAAATCAATAATGATTGTCTACTCTCAGTGTATTTAGTGAAATCCATTGTACAAGAGGCTAGACAAAGAAGCATGTGCATTGAACAGCATAAACAGTTAATATGAGAGTTATTAACAGCCCCTCACTTGTGGTCTTTGGGGGCTTTGCAGCTCTGGGTAGCACTCAGTAGCAGAAGAATTGCCATTGCATCCAATTCAATCGCTTTTTAGTGAAAGCACTTCACAATCTTAATTTAAAAAATTCCTAGAGAGCTAAACCATGAGGGGCATGTAGTGATCCAAGCTCTCAGAGTGCACATTGACTCCTGCTCACAGCCTTTTTCCCTTGCTGAATTCTCAGCATTATTCCTTATCTCCTATTATAGAAACCCAGACTGATTTGCTCCCCATGATCTAATGAGAAAGCTCTTCCTCACCCACATTTCCACTGCCACAATGAAAAACTCTTCCTGACTGACAGTGGAAAAAGTGGCAAATCGCAGAATGATGACTGATAGTGCCAGTGTATCCAAACTGTAATAGCCTTAATTGACATTATAGGACATGAGACATGTCATGAAGAAGAATCAAACTGTCACAGAAATAGAAAACTTCCACACTGTACATGGATGCTTGTGCATGTTTATGTTTTATGTCCATTTTATGTTTATCCAGTACACTTTTACTTGTAGTCCTTATTTTGTCTGCAAGTTTTATCTATACTCTTTGTAAAAGCCCCAATTTGGTTATCTTCAGCTGCTATTTTATAGCAAGTCTGACATGAAGGCTTGTAATCAGATATCATTTTGTAAACAAGGAAAACATATGCTATATATAGAATAAATGATAAGGAATTGTGAATTGAAGGCCTAGCTCGATACTGAGGTTTTCTGTGGTGATCTTGCAAATCACAGTAGGGAGTTCTGAATGGATTGGGAAGTAACCAGAATCAATAACCAGCATGAGTACACTCATTATTAGAAGCTGGGTTTCAAAAAAAACACATTTGGAAGGACACTGCATTTAAACTCAATCCTTTTTACTCCAGTTTTCTATTTCCCTCTCTCTTGTCATTTAACCTCCCTTGTCATTCATTACTCTCTGTGAATACAAGTGACCATGAAATAATTTAAAAATAATATAGTGAAGAAGAATATATAAAACAATGCATAATAAATTAGTGCCTGAATAAGGCAGCAGTGGAGGAAGATTTTTCCATCATATTCTGATTATAATCAGAAATACACCACTTATTACAGTTTGTGTAATAACTGCAGATTTTAGGATGAGGGTAAAATCTGCCTGCACAGTTCTTTATTCAGCAGCAAGGAGGACACTCTTAAGATGTATTTAGGTGTTTAAAAGGAGCAGTAGTGAAACAAGCTCTTAGGAGATAAGGATGTGTCTGACCTACGTCTAAACCCATAACAAACTCAGGAAGAATGTGTTCCCTGTGGTCTGGAGCCTCTAACAGGTACATAAATGCTTCCCTTGTGCACGTTAAAGCCCACAAAAAGCACACAGATTAGCATTAGAAAGTGCAAGGATGTGGTGACTGATCCGCAGGGATCAATAGAAGTGCCGGGTTCCCTTCTGGCTGGTGCAGCACTGACCTGATGTGCAGCCAGGTGAGCATTGGGGTTGTGCATCCCCCCAACACGCAGACTGTGAAGAGGACGATCAGCAGGGCAGTGGTGAACACCATCTGCTTGGGCTGCGAGTTGGTGTCCCGAATGGCCAACGCAAAGGCGATGGCTCCGCGCAGACCTGGAACAGCACGGGGGGAGCTTAGCGGCATGGACAAACCTAACTGCAATATTCCCAGCCCAAACCCAGCCCCAACAGCAAAGGACATTTTCAGATCATAATCCTGCTTATAAAGCACCGAATCATGCTAACTGAAAGGGCGGGATTTATTGCAGCAAATTTGCAAAAGTTACCAATGAAAATACTCTCCTATTCGCTTTTGCTTTATATACACTGAATTCTTTGTCTTGAATAATTGCAAATTAAGTAGTAATTTGAATTTAATGCAAATTGAAAAAGAAATCTTTATCCTGTGTTAAGTGAGACTACTCACGAAGTCAGGAGCAAGTGGAAAAGAGGATTGACATTAAAATCTGTACCCAAATATACTACTCATTTCTGCCTTGAAAATATAGAATCTCTTCCTTTGGAATAATTTAATGTTCTAAGACTAGTCAGAAGAAAAGGTGACTTAAAAAAATGAGTAGGTTTTTTTTTAATATCTGAAAGGGGATGCAGAATAAATTAATGTACTTGAAACATTATAATAATTGTAGAATTATACACCCACAGACTGAATAAACAAGAAATTACAAAGGAGGTGAAAATAGCTAAACGAGTTTTTTAAAAAAAGCCCCATAGGTAGTAATAAGGTGATTAAATAGGTCTTGACAGAATGCCATGTTTAAAAATTGAGAGGGAAAAAGCCTGGTAGTGCCTACAGCCCTAATGATGCATAATACAAATAACACTCTGTATTTTCCAATGCCTTTCATTTATCTATTTAAATATACGTTAATTTTTTCCAAAAAAATTTCACAAAATGTGTGGAGAGCAAAGTCATTATGTGTATACAATACACACTGAATCCAAAAAGTACTCTGCAAAGTATTGAGAGATTAAATCTAGTAATCAAACCTCTTGTAAGGCACTGATGACATATGCAGAATCATTTAATTAACTGCTAAATGCAGCTATTTTTGGCCTAGAACACCAAAGCTCTTCAAGATTACATAGCTAGAATGTGAATTATTTGGTATAGAAGTTTATCCAGGGAACAGCACAAAGCCATTTCTGCATGGAAGAAGCAGACTGGAGTTGCACTATCTGAAAATACTCAGTGGCAGCAGGTTCAGAACCCTGCAGGCAGACACTGGGCTTGTCCTTGGCTTTGCTTTTGTGTAAAAGATGTCTCTGAGGATGCAGATGCTTTACTATTTTTTAACAGGGAAAGAATATAATCTCATTTTGAACATGTATCTGAGGAGGGAATGAACTACTATTGAAATGGTCTTTATTTCAGTGGTTATAGTGGTAATCTGGATAATTAGCACAGCTACATTTCAGTAGAAAACAATGCTGCTTCCCACAATTGCACCACACCTTTAATTTTAAATCTAGAGTATCTCTTTTTGTAAGAGGGGATACATATATATATATATATATATATATACACATACATATATATATATATATATATATAAAAATTAGTATGTCTCTATTTCTTGAGCAGTGGACTGGCTGTTTCTTCAGAAAAGTAGTGTGTGACTTCTCTGCATTTTTCATTTATAAAAGGCTCAACGGGGTCTATAGGAGATAATTCCATTTCAACTAAAGACATATCTAAAGTAAAATAAATAAACTAAACAACTAAAGCAGTAGGAAGCAACATTACACTTGAAATGTAAAGATTCAATGAGAAGCAAAGAATACTTCTATCTATCTATCTATCTATCTATCTATCTATCTATCTATCTATCTATCTATCTATCTATCTATCTATCTATCTCTCGATCCTCAATCTCAAAATATTTTCCAGGGAATAATACCAATGAAGGAAGGGAATTTTAATAACCTCAGAAAATGCTGAGATGCTAAAATGGACTGAAGTTAAGGAGAATAAAATTTTCTGTAAAACTTCAGGGAAAAATGCCACCAAAGCCCAGTGGGATGACTGGATGCAGTGGATGTTGGTACCTCAGCTACTCCTGGAGAGAGTGGTGCAGCAGAAGGACCAAGTCTGATGAACCATTAGCAGAGATTCTCTCCCCTCATCTTTCACAGGTGCACTAATGGCAGCTCCACATCTGTGTTAATCCATTCATCCTTGGGTTGAATCTCAGATTTCCTAACAGATTTTTCTTGTGCCAGCCATTAGGGATTCATCTTTAAGCAACAGTCTTTAATGCGCCAGAGCCTCCAAAGCAGACCAGCCCAGGGTTAAGCTCCAGAGTCCCCCAGGACAGAACCTGTGTGCCCTGTAGGGCTGATAGCCATCCCTTGCCCCTACCCCACACAAACTCCTCTCCAAACCCAACCCTGAAGAGCCCAGGAGGGATGGAGTGTTTGTTGTTGGTGTGAAAAGCATCTGCCAGGAAAGAAGACTTTCTGTGGGTAGCTCTGGTGTTTTGGTTTCAGCTGTAGTTTTCTGCTCTTCCTTGCTTTCTTTTCTTCACATATTTACATCTCTTGGACGAGTTCACATTGCCACTTCCCACCTCCCTGTCTGTATGAGTGTGTAGATGGAAATGCCTGCACAACAGCTGCCTGTGCATGGGCACTTTTTGGTTTAATTCTGCTTTTGTGTTCATTCTTTTCAGACTCCACTGATGCTGTATTATATTAACAGCAACCACCCCTGTAGCACCATGTCCCACAAACCTCTCTGTTCCCTATTTATGTGTTGTAGAGAAGAGGAAAGCAGAGTAAAAAGTAAATAAAGATGTTGTAGAAGAATGGAAGGTGCTGTATAGTCTAAGACTTTAAAATATTTCTTTTCCACATGAGCAGAGACTGTTGGACTGCTCACTTTAGCTGATGTTCAACTTAATTGGAGAAGCTCAGGCTTAATTAGTCCTTATATAAAGGACTAATCAAGTTTCATTTACAATGGAATGTTATCAGGAATCATGATTAAAAACAGATGTAGAAGTGAATCCACCCTCTGTAATGTATTGTTAGAGGAGTGGCAGCAGCAGATAAAGAATGTTATAAATCAAAATGCTCCATAATTCACCTCCAAGCCTAACTCTTCCACCTTTTCTCTACTGTATTAATACACCTCAAAAAGCAGCACTTAATGACTTCAGGAAAGTTCTTTGCAGACTAAGGTACAATCAAATGTTAATCAACAATGTACTTGCCTGACCTTAATTGCTTTTCTCAGCAATTTTCCTTAGCAATCACTTTGGTGATTGTGGCAGTAAAACAAGCAGTAAATGTTTGGTGGGTTTGATAATGATAAGACAGAAAACAAAACTAACCCCAAAGTCATTGTTTTCTACACCTGAATGTGTGATGCTGTGGTGAATGAATCACATTTTCCCCTGTGATCAACTAGAACCTGGTGCTGCACCAGAACAATGCAGGTGGTGAAACACACACTGAGGTGGGGGATCCCTGGATCCCCATCCCTGCAAACACTCGAGGTCAGGCTGGATGGGGCTCTGAGCAACCTGCTCAAGTCCTTGCTCATTGCAGGGGGTTGGACTAGATAACTTTTAAAGGTCCCCTCCAGCCCAAACTGTTCTATGACTGTTGCTACTGATCTTTGTAGATAATTTCCTTCAAACTCAAATTCAGTGTCTTGTTTACTCATCAGAAATGTGATGAGTCTCTTCTGGCAGCCATTGTTCTCTCTGTTTATCACTACATGCAGTATAATCAGTTTACAGCACTAAGAATGTTATTGGTAGCTAAGCACAAATTTTGGTGCATCTTAAAAAATAGAATTTCACAGAAAATCTGTGTATCTTGTGTTCTGTGAAGTGTGCAGCTGCTGACAGCATGAGAGACAGTCTTTATTATTATAGTTGCAGATTATGCCATTACTTTATTATAATGCAAAGATATTTTTCTCTACAAAATAGAGGGTTTTTTCCTTTGCAAGTAGTTAAAAATTACTTTTCTGAGAATTTTAACATTTACAATTTAGAAGCCTGCTATACTACTGTTTCAGTTCTCAGCTGCCAGCTTGTCCTGGAAAGCTAATGTGTGTGAGTTCTCACGTTCAGCTGCTGGCTGCAGGCTGCTTTCTGCTCCTGCTCCATGGAGAATGAAATTTGACTGCAGGAAACGAGGACAGAAAAGTTAAAGAACAAGAGAGATTTCAGAAGGTTTTTCCATTCTACACTTTAGCTGATGAAAACCAAAAACCAAAATGGAGCCCAGGAACTAGATAACAAATGATATGAAGCTATTTTTCATGCTGTTGTCTAGTTGGCCACCTGCTAGGCTTCCTAGATCCAAGCTAGCCGTGGAACAATGGCAGGGAGCAGTGGGGCTGAAAGGCAGCTCCTGCTGGATGTGTCATCATCCCTCACTCCAGCCTCGCTGGAATTAGCTGACATTTTCAGTGGCAGCTTTTAGCAGAAGGATTGAATGGGTATAGAAATGAACTGCTGTGTTGCTCTCTAGAGAGTTGGAATTACATAGGCACAAATGAGGCCCCCTGATGTGGAGTAGTCCTGATGAGGAAGCTGGAAATGCAGCACATTGTATTTCACTCGTTATCTGGCTAAATGGATCTCGGTACATCAAGGCTGTCAATCAAGAACTTTTATCCATACAAATGTGGAATAATTTTTTTTGCATAAAAGGTAGGAAAATGAAGCAAAAAAGGCGCTGAGTTTCTAATTTTAGAAAATTGTATCATCAATAGCGTTGGGGTATCTGCATTTCTGTCTTTTACTGAACAGGTATTCTTAGCTTATAAATGAGTTTCTCCTAACTAGCATGAGAAAGTCAAATGGAATTATTTCTATCTTGTACAAGTAAAAAAAAATACAAAATCCAGATGAGCTTTAACAGTTCTGAGGATGATGTGCTAATCAGACTAGAACATGGCTCCCTCTTCTGGATTTTTAATTTTTTTGTTATTATTCTGCCAGGTTAACAAAATAAATAAAATTAAGTATCAAGCTGGAATACATATGAAAAAGTCTGTGGAATTCAAGTGCTCTCATCTCATGTTTCAAAGTTCTTGAAGTTTAAGGAATTGCCAAAGACCATGTCTGATCTGAGTATCAGTACTAACACTGTTCAAGCTGGATATTTACTTGCTGCTATGTAAAATATTCTCAGGTATACTACAGGTGCCTCTAAAACAACACAACTTAAAAACATGATATTCCCAAATTGTAATGGAAGTGTAGACAGATGGGGGGACAATGGATTGAAAGACAATGGCTTCCTGGGCAGGGAGTTTCCAAAGCATAAATTAAAATGGGTTAAGAGCACAGTGATTCTGATCAGAAGGCATCCATTTGCTTCAGTAGCTTTGGAGAGATGACCTTGAGTTTCAAGATAGCGAATTCTTTGTGACAGATGTGGCTTTTTCTAGTGATAGATGACTATTTTTTCACTCATTAAATGTGAACAGGAAAAATACCAAAAACCCACAAAATAGCTCTTACCTGAAAACATCATCATGTGCTGAAAGTTCCTGGGAATCTTTTGTTTTCGACCCAAATTCAAAAGGAAAGAAAGTGGGTATATGTTGGAAGCTCTTGCGACAAAAACTGCCACCTAAAATGTAAGATGTTGAGGAAAATAGTCGACAAACTACTGACAAAACCATAATTAACTTAACCCAAATATTTCTCTAAAATTATTTTAAGGTGTAACTAAACAAATATATTATCTTATTTCATGTTTTACATGCCATATTCTAATGCTTCCTGTGCAGTGGCAGAGATCTGCCTTCCCCAGACATGCTGGTTTATATTCATCATGATATATCTCACTTCAATCATTCTACTTCTACTCATCACATTTGTGTCACATGTGACTTCATCTTCAGCCCTTCAGGAAAATGCCCATCATCAATTGCAGAGAGAGCATTATCTCCCTGAGCAGCAATTTGCAGAGAATAAATGTCCTTTTGGACTTGATTATTACTTCCTTATTTCCTGGTGATTCATATTGTCTATATCCAGCACTTTTTGCTTTTTCTTCTCCTTCTCTGAGGACATTCTTCTGATGAAGTTCTTTATTACTCCTCTGTGGGACCATCCCAAAAGTTGCCTTAATTACAAACATGAGGCCATTATCAGATTTAAAGAAAGGCACTCTGACCTTATATATGCTTTTTGCACATCTGCAGGTTTGTGCCTTCCCCTTGTCTTGTGGCTCAGGGATGGCACTCCCAGTCCGAGATGTGGGCTGGAGAACAGGAGGTGTCTGAGAGGTGATGGCTGTGTCCCATCAGCTGCACCAAGAGCTGCTTGAAGCTCCAGAGCTCCTGCCCTGGGCTCAGGCAGCCCCTGTGCAGTCTGCAGGCTCTCAGGGACAGGAGGGACAGAGCCACAGTGGGTCCCTGCCCTGCTCTGCAGCACTGCCCCATCCATCAGGGGCTGCTCCTGCTGCCTGCCCATGCCTGGAGTGCAGGACAGGCTGGGCTGCCCTGCTGGGGACACTGGAGCTCCTGGCTCCTCGCTGCCATCCAGCCCAGCCTGCAGCCAGGGGAGCTCTGGTGCAGCCCTGATTATTCATTTAGAAATTACATATAAAAATTACTGCACGTAAACAGTATGCTCCCAACTTTCAAAGCTATTACAGCTCATTTAAAAGTGATAAGCAGAGGGCTGCTGCTCTGAGCCAAAAAAAATCATTGTATAAATTGTCAGTGTGAAAAGAATCTGTACTGCTGTACAAGTAAGATTTGTTGAGAAGCCATGGCAGAATAAAAGACATAGAGCTTTTCTTACTAGTCACCTAGGCACACAATGGTGTAAGTAATTCCATTTATGCTGGAGATATCAAGATTAAAGAAGGAAAGATTTGAGCAAAACAGAAATATGTGATTTTTAAGGACTTCATATAATTTAAGTGGTTTTGGGGAAGTCCTGCTTATGGCACACATCTGTCTAGAGGCAGCTCTCCAGTTTGTGGATCTGCTCTGGCTCCAGACAGGAGAAAAGTTTTTGTGTTGCACCTGTCCCCACATATGTGTCCCAATACTTATCCCAATTTTCCACCCCACTTGTAAACCATTGGCAAAAGTTTCCCAGCTGGTTTAAAGCTATTTGACTGTAGCAGAGGAGCAAAACAGCAACTGTCCAAAGAATATGTGCTTACATGCATTGGGGCAGTTACTAGGTAATAGATGATTGCACTTGGAATTGACAAAAAACTGATCTGTAGTATTCAAGGAACTGATTGCTTTTCTTGTTTACTTTTTTCCCATAGAACATGCATTCTTTATATATATATACAAAAGTAGACATGTACAGAGATATGTACTTCTTTAAAGCAAAGGATACAAGTGCACCAAATATGAAAAGAGGATTGAAGATGTGATTTTGAAACGTAAAAAGCGCGAGTCCCATGTAGCAGAAGATGACATTCTCAGCCAAAAAATTCATGAACTCGAACAACTTAAATGAGAGAGAAAGAACATAATTATGACTCATGTCTACAACAAACTACTGATTATCCCAAGTTCCCTTGGAACACAGAACTGTTTAGATGAAAGGAACACAAATTGCTGCTATTTCAAGGGAGGATTTCAAACCCACCTAATTTGCTATACAGTATAACAAGGTGTCTTTTAGCTTTAAAAACCATAGTTGCTTGCATATTTTTCCTTGATTTGTATATGAAAGCTTGACATAGACAACTGATAAAATATATAAACAGAAAGTAAGTTATATGAGCTTCAATGCAAACTGCAAGGAAGCTGAGGGAAATTAGCTTCACTCATGTTTACAGGGGCAAACCTGGGAAATGGCTCCTGGTTACACAAGTGGCTGTGCATAATGCAGTCCTGGGTACACTAAGGCCTAGAGATAAAAACATTTCCTAAATGGATTTTTAAGAACCTGTCTCTTTAAAATATAGCGTAGTCTTTCTTACTACCATGAATATTATCCTGCAGATGGAAACTTACTGCACTGTATGGACATTAGTATCAATACTAATTTCAAACCAAACTATTTAAAATATCATTTAAAGGTATTATGAAACAAGCTTAAAATACACGAGTAGGGTAGAAATTTTTCTGTGATAAAACAAGCCAAACCAAAATATTCATTTGCCTTGAGGGAATGTTCTTAATTGTATTTGCAACTGATTACATTAAAACTAATAAAATAAATTTTCCAGTTTAACCACATTTGGAAAAAAATCAATCATTGCTGCCAAATAACCATAGAGAGAAAAAGGGGCATTTCACTTCTGAAGTCACTTTTGAGCTCAGGATTCTATGCCAACAAATCCTGATGCAGATTTAGGACTGAAGTTTGTCACTCTGTCTGCAACCAGCCATACATCACTATCCAAAACTATGGATACTATGGAGATGTTTTATTCAACCTCAGTGGGCTTCTGTATTTTTTGTAATATGTTTGTACTTCTAGAAATGAATATCCAGTAACAGTCACTAAGATTTAACAAAGGAAAAATGAGAGCTGTCACAATCATTAAAACAAATTTGAGAGGCAAAATGGCATAAAACCCATTAGTATATGGGAGAATATTTTGGACCTCTTGGCAGCACCATCAGTTATCCCAAGCACACATTCCACAGCCCTCATTTTGTGCTGCAATACTGAACAACATGAAAACAAACACAAAAAATATTTGCAGGTTAGCAGTCTTAAATTATTTGAATTAAATTTAGATGAGAGAAACCAGTTGTCAAAAACTTCAAAGTATAGGATCTTGCAACCCATAGAAATTATAATAAATCTCAGCATTTCCACTTGAGAGCAAATATGATCCCATGTCTTTGTGGGAATATCATCTGATGCATTGTTTGAAACGATAGAAAAATGTATCAGGAGTGCCACGACAGGATCTACATCTCTTTAAAATCTGTGTATATATGAAAATATAAATCTGTGTATACATGAAAATCTTTTGAGGGAAGGATACTGCTATGAGGAGCCACAACTGCATAGTTTAATTGTTGGGATGAGATAAAGTACTCCAGATGTCTTAGAGCTGAATGACATTTCATTTTTCATTTAGAAAATCTCATTCAGGACTCAAAAAAATTTAAAGTAGATGTACTGTTGATGCATTTTAGAAACAGAAATTCTTAAACTAAATTTTCTTTCTCATGTCTTTGAAACTTCTGTTAATATAGATTTTTTGGATGAAAAGAGATTTTCTTCTATATCATTGCCTTTGCTCTGTACATTTTCTCAGCAATCTTACCAAATTCAAGCTTTTACTCTTGCCTGAAGTGCTTTCATGGCATAGCTGATTTTAAACTTCTCCCCTCTATTTTCCCAGCAATCCCATCAAGATGCAATTTTTATGGATTTCTTGCAAATCCAGTTTAGTGCATCTTTTTCATTTCCCCCATAAATTCACTTCCTTTTACTCACTACGTGCATCCTGCTTCTTCCTGCTTCAAACTTCCAGGCTGATTTCAGTAAATGATTGTTAAAGAGAAAACAATCCCTCATTCTTGTCTGGGTGTTTGCACTCAACGTGAACAACACGAGCACTTTTCCTTTGCTGTCGTGTCCCACAGCACAGGCCTGTGGCTTCCTTGGCCTCTATTCACAGAGGATGGAACATCTGTAGCCACAGATCCATGTCAGATGCCTCCACTGCTGGAATTGTACTGCTGAGCACCAATTCCTTTTTTTTTTTATTGCAATAGCAAATATAATCCAAATACTTTTATTTTTTTCTGTGAGTTTTTGTGGGTTTTTAAAAATTAATATTTTTTTTTTCTTTTTATATGTGTGTGTCTTTGCTGAACTGTGCTGGCTTTTTTCCTCTTATCTCTAGTTTCTCTGTATTTTGATCTTGCACTACCAGAGCACAGCTTACTTGCTGGAAGATTAAGTCCAGACTACTTTTCTTTCTTTGTGTAGCAAAAAATCCAGGTGCTATTTCAATAGCTCATTTAGAGCAGGCTCCACTCCTTCCTATTCCAGGCACAACCATGATACAGTCTATTATCAAAGATTCAGCTCCTTAAAATGGTAAAAGTAGCTTATTAGCTTCATTCAGGATCTTCTGTGTTCCCCACATGGTTTGCTCTCTTTTTCTAAAAGTCTATCACTCACTCATATGACACATTTATTCACTGTCTGCAACTTATTCAAATTTCTTACCATGAGTGAGAAAAAATTAAATAAAACAACTGCTTCAGAACTAGTTATAGGCATAATACCTGAATGCATTTTCCTGGAACATGACACTTGCTGATATAAAAATTATCCACTGTTCTCTTGACTTTACTTTTATTCCTGTATTTAAGTGTAGTGTTTTATTTAGTGTTCAGCTTCTGTGTTTTGTTCAACAGTAATACAGAGCCCATGGAGAAATTCCATTTAGCACTTAACTGTCAGTGCTGTGCAGCACAAATCCCTTCAGAGCAAAATAATTTGTTCTAAAGAGATCTTCTGGAAACCATGTTAAGAAACAGCTTCCATAGAAGCATTTCCCCAAATTCTCATGCCTTTCAGTCAAATGTTTCTGTCATTTTTTTAAGAGGAGATATCAAGCCCTTTTCATGAGAAGTAGAAAAATTGGAGCAATATGCTTTCACCTGGAATTTAAAAATTCTTGGGTCACCCAAGGAGTTGCACCATACACAGGAGCTTCTGGGTGACATCCTCTCCTGCCTGAGGGGCATGAGCCAGTCCATGCTGTGCCCCATGGGCTTAAATGCCACTCAAAAATTCTTAAGTTTTTGAATATAAGTACTTGCAAGTGGGATTACTTTCATGGGAAAAAAAAATTAGGACTAAAGTCCTGGATACTGAGTGTTTGGAAGTTTTTTTTCCATAACCATAAATTCCCTTCCCTTGTTACCCACACAGACAACCAACCTCCTTCCACTCTAAATGAAATTGGCATAAAATGCTTATACACTGCTATTAACTTTCCCAGGGCTACCAGAAAACCATTTTAATATGCACATAGCAATAAGACATCATTTTGTTATAAAACTAAAACCTCTCATTTGTAATGTGGCATTTCTAACTCTCCATAAAGTCTATAAATCTGGTTATACTTTTAATGTAAGAGCTGTTATATATCACCAATGTCAACACATTGCAGAGTAGAGTATTAATTACAAGAACACTGGTTCAGAACTAATCCAGGCACTTGGTTTAGGTGCTTAGCTTAGTGAGTTACTGAAAATGGTATTTGCTTTGCTTTGGTAATTTCCTCTGTAAGTAGTAGTTATTACAAAAGATTTATATTAAAATTGACATAATATTTATGGATTTAAAAACACATAATTCATGAAATATTTTTCTATTACACTCAGCTGTTGAAAGTACTAAGAGAGATGTGCAAAAATTCTGTTTCAAGCTGGGACATTGTTCTGGAAATGTCACTTGCAGTTCAGTTCTCACGGGCAGAGGAAGGAATCAATCCAAGCTATCTGTACCTTAAGCCTTGCTGTAACCACTGAGTTTATCCTACACCAAAGTTTTATTTTAACTCAAGTGAAAAAAATTATATGATATAAAAATGGTATCATTTTATCTTTTCAGTGAGATAGGGAAAGCACAGTGTTTTTTCCTCTCCTTCCTTTCCTCCACCCCCACAGTTAAGTTCCAGCCAATTAGAGCAATAAGCTATGCCAGAACGGCTTTTGCAAGTCAATTTATTTTCTAGAACTACTTATATTTTCACTGAGTGTTAGAGAGATTTTCTAGGTAAGTAATTAGTGCACCTGGAAGATGGAACACACTAAGTACCAATGTCATCTGCAATGAAAATAGAATTCCTTAAAGGAGCATCAAAAAGAGAACATAATCTATGCCACAGTCCCCTTGCGGCTGGGGAGATGGAAAATGTAAGATTTTTCAAATACTGATACTTTAAGGACTATTTCTCATCTCAAGGGAATAAAGTTAGTATGACAGGACTGGGTAAAAGCAGAATGGCAAACAGCATTCTTTCCTCTCGAGGGAATAACATTAGTATGGAGGTATTGGGTGGAAGCTGAATTACATCCTCAAATTCCTTCCAGCAAAATTTATTGAATTTTAATCATTGATGGCAACATTGCATTCGTTTACTTGATTTAATATCTGCTGAAGGAATGCCATTCGCCTCTTGAAGGTACCTGCAGGCCTTCTGTAGTTGCACTGATTTCACTAAAAACATGGAAAATGCCACCTGTCTGGAGGGTGCACCCTACAGTGAAATATTCCTGCATCAAAACAGGGAGAGTTTCCACAGTCCAACAGCAGCTAGGAAACTAGGATGTAAAATTGATTATACTTTTAAGAGAGATCTAAAGGTGGCAGAGCTATTAAAAACTGCAGAAGTCAATGTTAAGTGATGGTTATAAAATTTATTATCTTTGAGTAATGCTATTTAATTAGATCACAGATATCAAAATATTCCATGAAGTCAAGGATATTGATAAATTAATAATTGATAAAAATTGCTT